AGGGCATTATGTTAAGTGAAATAAGCCAGGCACAGAAAGACAATGTTCTCATTTATATGCAGAAGCCAAAAAAAGGCAATCTCAGAGAAATAAAAGTAGATTAGTGATCACTAGAGGATAGAAAGAGGAAGTGAAAGAGGGATAGAGAAAGGCTGAACGATGGGTACCAAAATACTGTTAGAGATAAGTGCCAGTGTTCTACAGCAGAATGGCAACTATACTTCACAGCAGTTTGAAATATATTTAAAAAAAAAAAACTAGAAGAGAGAACAGAGAAGTTCAAAACTTCCTGACACAAAGGAATGGCAAATACTGAAAGAGATAAAAATGGTAATTATCCTGATTTGATCATTACACATGGCATACGTGTATCTAATTCACAATGTATCCCATAAATTCATTATTATGTGTCAATTCAAAATAAAAAATAAATGCAAAGAAAGAAATTTTTAAACTAGTCACCCTTTCATATTATGCTAAAACAGCCATCTTAAACTAGAAAACATGTCTTTTCTGAATATATATGAAAACTTTCCAAACGTCCTAATAAACAAAGACAATTTTAAAAGAATTTTAACATTTATATCTTTAAGGTTTACTCTTTCTTAAAACTGATATTAGTGTGTACACCTAGAAACCATGAGCTTTTCTTTCCTATCTCTCCTTTCACGATGACTTGTTCCCACTTTACAAAAGAGGAAGGCCTGTTTCTCACCTAAGCAAAAGCTTCTGTGAATCCCAACAGAGACAATTGTCAGTTACACAATGTTTTTTCTGCCTGTACCACTGGTTGAATTGTAAGAAATGAGGAACACTGGTATAATCCTACTTTTTCATCAATTTTAATGAGATTTTTATATACTCTTATTTTTAAAGTCACAAAAATTCATTTTAACAATAACTAATTCATTCTTCTTTCTTTCACACAGGCACATAAATCAATTTTAGAAATCTCATACATACTTCTCAATAAGAGATGATTCAATAAGATCTTCCTTCCAAATATGAAAACTTTTTTCCAAAATTTGTGTATCTAAATTTGTAAAATAATTTTCCTGCCTACCAATTCTTTCATCATGTAGTTATGAGAAGTGATTCTTTAAAAACCATACAATGTGAACTAGAAATATCAAATGCAGTTCAAGTAAAATAGTTAAAGCAAATCAGTTGGTTTCCTCTTTTACCCACACTTTGTTCTTTATGTCATGAAATATGTCTTTCCTCATCTCTCTTTATCTGTTCAGTCACAAAATAACCTGAAGAAAAATACATACATAGCTTCTATGTGCATGCAATTAGAGCTAAAGACCAGTGAGGATTATCTAGGAAAGAAGTCAACAAAAAAGAAGAGAAGATGAACTACAATAGCATATTAATGTTCCAGCTAACACAGAAATAAAAATTTATAGTAGCTGAAATATAGACATGTATTTGAAATACTTTCATGTTTCTAATATTATTTTCAGCATTTTAAATGTGAGGAACATTTATACAATACAAACTGGTATGATTAAGAGGCAAGTATAGGGTCAATTAGGGCTTATAGATAATTTAAGAAATGAAGAAATATTTTCTTCAGGATTTTAGGGCTTGAATCAGACATTTGACAGTTTGAATACCGGACTTTATAGTTAATGATCCACTAACCCTTAACTTTGCTTTTTATAGATTTTTTTAAAGCATTGCAGAAGATCAAATAAGGTCAAGCAAAAGGTTAGAAGTAGCAGGTTTATTTAACAAGCAATTATTTAAAAATCTACCTTGTCCTAGGGCTTGTGAAGTACAAAGAAAATATTTAATTCTGACCTTGAGAACCTCACAGTGTACGATGACATCATCCCCACATTGCTTCGAATATCCCATGTGGACTGATATCCATCTCTGCACAACTATATTTGTGAATGTCTCCTTAGTCACACAAAAAAGTACCTATCACACAAGGTCTTACAAATACTGTGAACTGAGTCTACACACACATAAACAAAAAGAAATCATTTTTTTGTGTACCCACTACACAGAAATACCTGACTTCCAGATTTCTATTTATATTCATGTCATCATCATGAACCTAGTCTCTTGTAATAAAAATTTGGAAGTCATTCCCGATTCTTTTTTTTGAGTTACCCCAAACTCCATAAAATTCACCGAATCCTGTGAGTTCTTGTAAAGTGTTTCTTTAACCTCTCTTCCCCTTTAGTCAGTTCTAATGTCACCTATTAGAATAACTGTGTTCTTCATCTACATGCTTTCATGAAGCCCCTCTTCCACCCATCCTCTTATTATTGCTAATTCTCCAAAATACAAATCTATCTGCTTCTGTTCCTCATTTGCATAATAGTCCGCCCTAACTCTTCTCTACAGCTTCAGGTCCAAACTCTGAAATATAAAACCAGCAAAACTTCTCTCTACTCATCATGCGCTTCCAGACCCAAACACCATCATTCTTGCCACACTCTGAACCTGGCCCCATCCACATATATGCACCAAAATATTTGCTGAATATATCATGTTCTTTCATGTCTTTGTACTGCTCTCCAGGCTTAGAAGTCCAGTACTTCACTTCTGTCAAATCCCTTAAGATTTAACAAATTTCCTGTCCTTAACCGCCCAGCCCAAGTTCAATCTAAGCATAGTACTATGTTCACATATCCTTATGTTTTGATTTGAATATAAGTTCTACCCCAAAAGTTCATGGGTGAGACAGTGCAAGAAGGTTTAGAGGTGAACTGATTGGGTTATAAGAACCTTAACCCAATCTGAGAATTAATCCCCTGATAGGGATTAACTGAGTGGTAACTATAGGCTGGTACTGTGTGGCTGGAGGAGGTGGGTCCCTGGGGGTATGCCTTTGGGATATATATTTTGTCTTTGATAAATGGACCACTCTCTCTCTGCTTCTTATTGTGATATCTTTGGCCACTTTCCTCCACCACACTTTTCCACCATGATGTTCTGCCTTATGTTATGCCCCAAGGAATGGATCCAGCTGTCTATGGACTGAGACTTCTGAAACCATGAGCCCCCATATAAATTTTTCCTCCTCTAAAATTGTTCTTGTCAGATGCTCTTTCACAGTAGTGAAAAAAGTTGACTAAAACACCTTATTACTTATTGTTTGGTATTTATTTAGATTCTTCTATGAATATTCATAGGACCAGTCTCTAACTCATCCATACTTGCTATACATAAAGAAGAAGCTTAATAACTGCTTGGTAGCATACTATATTTTAAGAAAAAATCAAAGCATTCATTAAAACATCTTATGATATTCCATAAATATGTATAATTTTATGTTTTTTATGTATCAGAAATATGTTTTTTAATTATTAGAAAAATGAATCAATAGGATGAAATCTATGCTGATTCTTATCATAAAAGGTTATTCTGGCTTTATAGACCTAGAGTCCATCCATTTCTGTATTTTTTTAAGATGCATCTAATTTTCTTCCACTGTAATTCAGTCTTCACCATTCTTATATAGACTTATAAATGTCTTATCTAAGTGAAAACTCTTGATACTGAGACAGGATACTTGACCCTTGAAACAGGCATAAATTAGGAGAATAAAAAAATAAAGAGATAAAAACACTAGTCTTAGAATCTGTAAACAGTCATATATGTGACACATTCTTGGACCAGGTAGAGAATGGGAAGGAGCTCATTAACAAATACAAGTAGTATTCTCTTAAATGAAATCTGCAAGTTACACAGATCCAATGTGAAAATCCATGTATTCCAGTTTAGAAGTGAGAAGGAAAGGAAATGTATGAATGTGAGGAGACAAAAATGGATAAAAATGGATACAACCGGGGCTGGGGATATGGCTCAAGCTGTAGCGGGCTTACCTGGCATGTGTGCGGCCCAGGTTCGATCCTCAGCACCACATACAAAAACAAAGATGTTGTGTCCGCCAATAACTAAAAAATAAATATTAAAAAAAAATGGATACAGCCAACATGGACCAATGTAGACCAAGTGTTGGACAGTGGAAGAAAAGGAGTAGATCTCTAGAAGAAATGTGAAAGAAAATTCAGATCTTTACTAGTCTATATCCAATACTCTATCAGTCTGTTTGTGTGTTTTCTGGGAAAGGAAGTTTATTAAAGACACACCAGCTATATGTAATACAAATTACCTCAAACTTAGTGGTTTAACACTTATTCATTAGCTCGCAGTTCCATAGAGCAGAAGTATGGGTGGTCTTGGCTGAGATCTCTACTTAAAGTTTCATGAGGCTGAAATCAACGTGCCAGGCCTCGCAAATCTCTCATTTGGAGGCTTTAGAGAAGACTTACCTTCTAACCCATTGAAGTTATTGACAAAAAGCAGTGGTTGTATAAGTAAGGTCCCTGTTTTCTACTTATAAACTAGCCAAGATCTCTCTAAGCCTATTAATTCTTATCCAGTGATGTCTTCACTAGAAGTCAACAATGCAGGCTTTCTCTCAATTTACGACCATCTTGTGCTTCATGTTATCTTGTGACTTCCTGTGCTGTCACCAGCTGAAGAAACTGTTCCTAAAGGACTCATGTGATTAAATCAGGACCACCTGTATAATCTCATTATTTTGAAGAGAACTATACCATATAAACACACTAAACAGGGGAGCAAATCCCATATTTGTTGTACCCAGGATGATGCAGGATGTGGATACCAATCCACAGGAAATCTTGAGACCATCTTAGATTTCTGACAACTGTGAAAGCTACACTTTTATTCTCCTAGTGATAGAATTCAATGATGGAATCACAGTCATTAAGATCTGATATTTTAAAAAATTAACATTTGCTGTTTGTGGATTTTAATTTTTCTGTGACAAATCTATATTCCACCAAACTATTCCCATCAAATGTTAATGTTTGGATTATTCTATTCAATTGCAAAAGGGGGAAATTAATAATATTGAATATATAAGGAAAGTGAAAATACTTCATCTCTCCCCTGTGGGTATCTTCTCCTGGGCCTATCTCTAACTCTATTTTTTTTTCTTCCTCTTTAAGTCCAAAGAGCAAACCACCTGGAGCCCCTGTCATAAATGAATATGCTGATGCTCAGCTACACAACCTGGTGCAAAGGATGCGTCAAAGAACAGCCCTATACAAGAAAAAGATGATAGATGGAGAATTGTCCTCACCTGAAGCCAGCCCACAAAAGGGTAAGCATGGTCCCCTTAAAGTACCAGGAAGAAGGAAGTCATGAGGAGATGTGATTTGCAAAATGCAAATCATGCAATTTGGATCCCCCAAATAGATCCTGAAACAAATGATTTAGGTACAAATAGTATATTTTGAGAGTGATCCATACATGTGTGTGGGTCTGAGAATGTATGCATACACACATGTATCTAAGAGATTTTGGAAAGTTTGTTTAATAACAGATAAATATGAATCAAATTGTTAATTACATAGGATAGAGTTGAAGCTTTCCTTATAGTTCTATAAGGAAGATTGAGTTTTCAAAAGGACCCATGTGTTATATGTTTATTTTTAAAGAGGTGAGGCTTAAATAAATCAGTCTTTATAGTTTGACAAAGACATACTGAAAATACTATTTTGAGCTTTGTTTACCCATGATTTGAAGGATATTTGTGAAAGATATATACTTAAGCACCAAACTAAAACCTGGAGGATGATGTGCATTTGTTTTGTAATACCTATGTGGCACTTTATTACTGATTTTTAAACTTGCCACRCATTTCTCAAATTCCAATGTTTCCCTTACTTGGGTAATAGTTATCGTTTTATTTTACTTTATTTTTTATGTATACATTTAAAGTGTGAAACATGCTGTTTTGATATACACACAATGAAATGTCACTATTTTAATCCTGAGAGTTTTGCCTCATCTCCCTGTATTGAGAGAAGAAGAGTTTCAAATGTTCTGGATTCATGAAATCTAGATTTTGGTGGATTAAGCCAAGTTTCACTAACCTATTTAAAATATCGTTTCTTTTTTTCCCCTATAAAGCAAAGCCCACAGCTGTAGCACCAACACAAGAAAGTGATTCTAAGCTAAAAAAAGAAGATTACCAAGGCATGTTGTGTTGGAAATTCCAGAAGGCTCCTCTGAGAGAGTACCTGAAAAAAATTAGACTTCCAGGAAGCATAGATTCACACACAGGTACCACAAGCAACCCACTGGGAGGGCTGGCTATCACCAAGAACCCCTGTGGCCCAAAGTCACAGGGAGCATCTGTTTTCCCCAACCGTGTTCTGAATGTTTCCAGAAAGTATAAAGTATTAGCTACATAATCTGCAAAGGATTATTGGCCCCTCTCTAATGGAGAGAAGAAATAATAGATTCCTGCCTGTCTTTAAAAGGCGGCCTGTCTTACACATAATTACCTTTGAAAAGAAGGCCCCAAACCACTCAGCAATATGTGTATACACACACACACAAACACACACACACACACTCATAAAGCACCCATCTTCTTCCAGGGCTTCACACTGTTAATTATTCTAATTAAACAATTTCCTCCTATGGAAGGAAAGGAAGGCCGTAGGTGAAGGGATGCAGACGGCCTTAATGGGCACATAGTCTGCTGTCCCCGAGACACAAGCCCTGGCAGGATTTGGCCTTGCTCTGGGCAGGCCTGCAACTCAACCAAGGAGCAGCAGAGGCCTGTTCCTCCGTGGCTGAGCTGCAGGGGTCCGTGGCTGAACTGCAGGGGAGGCCTGAGCAGGGTCTCTCTGACTTCTTGGGTTTCCACTTTCCTGACTCCATATAGTGTGGTTACCCACTGGGATAGAGTCAGTGTGGCCATGAGACAGGAAAGAGATTGCCCACTGCTGAGTTAATAAGTTCAGTTTACCTTCCTCCTACCGTACAATGCCTCCCACTTTAGCAGCAGAATTGTATTGAATGTTTAATAGAGGCCTTAATGCAAATGGCTTATCTCCAAAAGCTAGTGTCTCCATTTGATCAAACTAAGCAAGAGAATTCTTTTACAATCTTTGTTCCATGACATTTGGATGACTCCAATTGTTTTTCTAGATCGACTCTATCTTCTGTGGCTCTTACTTGTCACCATTGCTTATAACTGGAACTGCTGGTTTATCCCCCTGCGTCTCTTCTTTCCATATCAAACACCAGACAATACACTCTACTGGCTTATTGTGGACATCATATGTGACATCATCTACGTTTCCGATATGCTGTTTATCCAGCCCAGAATCCAGTTTGTAAAAGGAGGAGACATAATAGTAAGTGGAGTTTCAGAAAAGAAACTAACAAATGAACAATATCTAATCAGTCTACAAAAAAATAAACTAGCAATGTGATCTTATTTAATGTTCAATTGGCTATATCTGCATGGAGGGGTCCTTAACCACAGGACACCATCAGTAAGAATAAGATTAATGATAGAATCAAAAATAAAAAAAAAACAGTTGAGTGTGCACTCTGTACTGAAGAGCAAACATGTGGCTGTGCCTTAATTTCCTCGTCTTTAAAGCAGGAATACAAATGGTACCTTCATAACACTGATAGAAAGGTTAAATAAATTGATGTATGCAAAGTGCCTAATGCTGTGCCTAGTGCATAGTGGGGAGTATTAAATGTTAGCTACGTTATTATTTTAACTATTCATTATTATGTTTCACACCTTTCAAGGACACCACGAAAGGGGATATTAACAGTCCCATTTAGAGATGAATAAACTGAGGTTTGGAGATTGTGGGTGATTTGTTCAATGCACAAAAGCTAGAAAGTAGCAGAGCCAGGATTCAAATGCTGATTTAAGTTGGCAAGTTTTCCAGAATTTGATAATACTTGAGGATACAAACCTAGTGTGAAGTCTGAAATGACAAAACTATACATGTACTTTACCTAGGTAATATTTTTTAAATGTATAAATTATCATGTAAAAAAGAAAAACAATATACATTGCTCTAGTGACAAAGCTTTAAACAGCATGCAAAGCAATTTTTTATCATATTGTAGTCTGCTGTTCACATCAGTAATTTTTAAATAAGTGGGCATTACTTCACTCATTAAAGTCTACTCTACCTTCTAAGAAACAGCATGGTGTTGAGAGAATATACTGGACTCTATTTTTTTAGGACACTGACTGTGTCTTGTGTATCATTGTATAGTCAGCACCAAGCATTGTGCCTGCACATAATACAGAAATCAAGTCAAGGTTTTAGACCTGGTCATGTTGGGAAAACTTAACTTAAAAAGCAAAAATGTTGTGATGCTTTTTAATCAGTGTCAATTCACTGTATTCCCCAATACAGTGGCCACCAGGCACAAGTGCCTACTCAAATTGTAATCTTAATTGATTATAATTAAATAACATTTAAAAAATCTAGATTTTTTTCAGCCACCCTATTCATATTTCTGGTGCTCAACAACCTCATGTGGCTAACAGCTACCATAAGGGACTGCAAAGAAGATTTGCAAAATATGCTATTTGTAAAATATGCTATTGGAAAGAGCTGTAAGGGACTTCGAGAGCAATAAGCCTTTAATATCCCCACCCAAAAAGCCATGCCACAAAGAGGAACCACACACCTGGCTGCCATGGGCAAATTACAAGCACACCACAGCACAGTTATCTTGTATTTTTAACTGACTAGGATATCTTCTTTTCCAAATTCATTACTTCCCATTTCTTATGATCAAGTGGCCTGCCTCAGAAATTAGCATTGTTATCCTTAGGAAAAAGCACCTTCTCCCGGATTTATTCTCATGTTGGAATTTCATAGTCAATCTCATTAATCCAAAACAGAAACAGAAAAAATATGTTTTCACATGCATATACCCAACTCTTGGCCCTTTCCCTGGATAGCCAGCAGAATGCTTCCTTTTTGACTGATGTCCACTGCGACCTCTTTCTCACAAATCACATCAAGGGCTTCACAGAACATGTCCTCCAACATCATAGCAGGAAGAGCAGACAGCCAAGTGTATAGCAATGTAGGCTCGTTTATATCTTTGGAAAAGATAGACATGTTCCCTAGTCTTCTGAATATTTTCTTGAGTCTCCAGAAGATCTTATATTATCAAAAGGCTGAAAGTAGTCATTTTGCTTATTTTTTTTCTTTTAAAAAAATTTTTCTAGAAAACATCCCCTGTATTCAAAATCTTCCCTCAAAAGAAATTCTAAAGGCAAGAGCCAAAGCTGTTGCAAAAAAAAATCTACTGAAAATAGTCCTTGTGCAGACTTGGGAGCATTAGTTAACTCACCAGCACCATCCCCAGAGCTCATGGCAGCTTGATGAATGATGATGATGGTGTACAAATAAGAAGTAAACAGCACCAAAAAACAGCACTAATTTCAACCTCCATTAGATGCACAAAGGGGGAGAAAATCAATGTTTGACAAATGGAAAATGACAAAATCAGTAAGGGAAGACTTTTATTTTCAATTTTCTAAGAGGCCTTTTGCACACAATGGAGTGTTAAAACCAAGAAATATAACCAATAAAAACACACTCAACGAGCTCTATTTAAAATGCATTATCACAAGCTACAAATATAGAGCAGGAACTAATTGCTTTGTTTGTTCAAAAGAAGTTTAATGGTTTCTTTAATTTAGAGTAGGTAGTTTTAGCCTTTGAAACTTGATTACATTTTGGAACAAAGTATGCACACGGTGTCCCCCACCTGAAGGTCTCACTACATTTATTCCGACTGTGCTACCTTTGGTGTACAACACTAAATTATTCATTCATTTATTCAACAAACGTTTTAAATACTTATAGTTGCCAAGTAGGTTTAGCTACCTACTTTGTTGTTTAATACTTGTTGCACTAGGGTTGGAAGATAGAAATGTTAATTCTCCAAGGCCTTGAGAGGAAAAAAGGAACAGAGCAGACTGAGATGCTAACAGCTACCTTAGATGGAATCAGGAAAGTTTAAAAGTTTTCCACAATATTTATTTACAGTTCTTTCGTCTGAAAGTGGTACTAAACAAAGGACAGAATTTTGAACCCAAGACCAACAAAAATGACTCTTGCATGTAATTTCCCATACATATGGAAGGGCTCAAGTTGAAAATGATAGTGGGGATTATTTTACATATGAGATACTCACATCCACAACCCCTGGTAGATAAATCTACCAATGACAAGGATGTAGGGAAATGTTCAATGTCACTCAGGACCTCTGTTACAGTCAACTGCTTTTAGTACTTAATCCTCGCAATTACTGTTTTAAACTGACCTGAAGCAGATTAAACATTCCCTTCTCTGTATTCCATATTCTTTACTCATATTTCTGTGACTTGATTTTGTTATATGAAAATTAGCCTAATTATGATAGAGTAGAAGCAAACAGATCAGGGTTCTCAAATTTACTAACCGCATCATTTGAAGAAAAATAAATTTAATTTTTCACTGAAAACTTTCTTTTCCTCCAGTAAAATGGGAATTGTGCCTACCTTATAAATCCATCATAAAGATTAAATAAGATAGCATGCACACCTGGCATGCAGAAGATGCATAATAAATTGTTGAATTAATTAAATGATTAGAGGGTCACACAGGTAAATTGTGCTGCCTATGCCTATTTTTATATGTAGCTCTCTTTTTTTTATTAATGCAAATATTTATAATTTGACAATATATGGTAACATGCATTTATAAATGTAAACATTAAAGTATAAAGATATTTGTAGATATAAAGATACATTTATAATGCAAATTTGTATATTTCATAAATGTGAAAAGGCTTTATGTTCTAGGACAATAGTAAGTGGGTATAGATAGATGTAAAAAAAATGATAGGAGTTTTTTATTTTGGGGTTCTGGAATCATTCAGAATCATTTTAGAAGCATATTACTTTGTGGCCAGTTTTAGGGTACATTCATATCATATTTCTGACATTTGGTATTATCATAAGTAGTTTGTAGTTTTTGTTCCATTGGTTTTATATCTGGTTTTCTTTCTGTTTTTTCTTTTTCATTTGGTTTTTGTACCTGATAGTAAGTTTCTTGAAAGTAGGAACTTGTTCAGTTTATTTCCCTCTCTACCCTAAAGAGACCTGAAGAATAAATACACTCAAGTTACACTTGTAGGACTGAATGAACAGCAGTGTTGGTTCAAGCATTTTCTTTCCTTAAATAATTATTTGATCTGGGTTACAGTTGTTTGAAATGGTATTCTTGTTGAAATACTTCTTTTATTCACTCCATATAAAATTACAGAATTGTTTATTGGAAGAAGTAAATAGTAAGTAAATATACTAACATCGGAGTAGAGCTTCTTCAAAAACTGTTAAAAAAGGATTTAGGTGCAATTAGCATATCTTCCTAAAGTAAGCCTCCCCTGAAGAAATGTTGCCTGCATAATGAGGAGGCTTAAAAGACAGAGAGAATTAAATAGGGTGACATTTTAAAAAAATAAGTGCCTGATTGTTACGGGTAAGCATGCTGATCCTCATAAGGCTAATGATGCCAAATTTATTTAGTGCTCTAAAGAAGAGGGATTTTAAAATCACTAGATGGTACTTTCATTTAATCTAGCAAGATTTAGTTGCATTTACATTTATTCAACTCTGAAAGTAAAGGGATAAATGTGCTAAAAACATCCTTCCTGGGTGGAGGGGGGATGTAGTAGTTTAACTTAACAGCTTAGTCCTTGAACTGTGTCTGTCTGTCCCATATAAACTTTGAACGAGCTGAGTGATTTTATTAAAGCTTGTTACATAATTTATAAGGCAGACAACGTAAACCTGTCTATATCTACCTGTGGCTTAGTAAGCCATTTTATTTCACAGTACAAATCATTAAGTCAGCATGTCGTGTATGTGTTGTAATATGTTTCTATAAAATTTAGCTTTTGTCTGTGAATAAAAAAACTATAGTCAAAAAAGGGGAAAGGGGACCAGAATTGAGGAGCTGACTAATCAATCTTTGACATTACTTGGCAGTGGTTTGAAGCTGAACTTTAACATCATCGATGATAATTATTAGACAATGCTGCTTCCATAGATCAAAGTTTCAATACTTCAACTTATTGATAGTACAAAGAAATTTTTTCCTACATATTACTGAAACATAAATATAAATCTAATATGAAGCACTAATTCTTTCAGGTATGAATATTAATGCTTCCCTATTCATCCTTCATGTATTGTACATTTATTGAGCACCTACTACATGTCAGACATTATTATGAACTAAGGAAACAGAGGCCACAGATATGCACCCTATTTTATTACATAGCTCAGTTATGAAGGACAGACAAACAAAAGAAAAATGTTGGAATCTTATGTTGTAAGAACTGACAAAGATGACCCCTGGTTGCTATAAGGGTCAGAGAAAACTGTGTGAAAGAGGAGACACTTGGTCCAAATCTTGATATATGAGTTGAAGTTATCTTCACGCTTCTGCCCCTGAAAAATAAAGAACATGTGTCCTAATCTCTGGGAAGAGCACGGGAAAAGATGTCGAGGTGAGAAACTCTGGGGCATTTGAATAACTGCTTAACAGAATGTGTCCTTGATGCTGCAGGAGGCAAATGAGCCAGAGAAATCAGATCCTGGTGCCATGAAAGGGAGCTTGGATTTTTTTTTCTCTCACTCTTTCTCTTAAAATCATGTAGTCAGAGAATTTGACATACATAGGAGTTATTAAATATTCTGATTTATAAATATTCTGCCATTAAAGAATGGACAGAGAGGAGCAAAGACTCAGGCAGAAAGTCATGGCCAAAAGGAGAGAAGGAACCCGAGAACATTTTAGGAAGAATCTGTTGAACTCAGATGCTGATTGGACAAGGGAGAAAGAGTAGTCTAGGGTCACTAACTGGTATAGATAAGGATGCTCCTGGGATACATAATAGCAGGAAGAGGGGGATCACAACTGGGCTTAAGAGGGGTGCAGAATGATGATGAATTCAGGTTTGGAGCAAATGGCTCAATAAAGTGATATTAGGTGGAGGTAGAGATTTGATGGGTTCAGTATAAATGCCAGTCTTTGAAAATATAAAAGTGGATGAGATTTCCCAAGAAGTAAGTATGAAGAGAAAAAGAGATGAGAATCAAATCTTGGGGAATTTTGACCTATAAATGGCTAGTCCAAGAATCCAAGGACACCAAAAAGTTGCAAGTGAAGAATAAAAGTAAACCAAAAACAGTACTGAATCCTTGGAAAGAGAAAGTTCCAAGGACAAAATTTTTCCAAAAAATATCAAATTCTTCAAATATTTTTATTCATTTCTTCATTCCTATATATTCTTCCACTGAATGTTTATTGGGCACTTAGTTTATTCCAGGCTTTGGTTATACACAATTGCTAAACAAATCAATCCTGTCCTCAGATAGAGCACCACTTAATCAAGTAAATCAATTTTAAACAGATAAGCCCCAAAATATGTGTATTGTTTCAAAATATGGTGAGTTCCATAACAGGATGCTAAGAATTACAAAGAGTTTCCCGGGAGTGGTCATGGGGACATTACTGGTGGTCTTTACACTGTTAAGTCTTGATGGGTTGAAAAAAGTGAGAAGCAGCCACCACATTGCCATGGTTTAAGGATAAACATGAGGGAATGATATAGAACATGCAGGCACTCTCTAGAAAATCAGAAGATAAAAGCCAAGGAATGTGTTTTGTTCTAAATTGTGAGAGAATGGAGTATGTATATACACTGAGGTTAAAAGGAAACAGTAGAGATAAATAGCTATAAATATAAAGAAAAAAAGTGAAAGAACAATTAATAAAATTAGCTAAAATTAACTGAAATATAAATATATTTCAGGTGGAACCAAATGAGCTAAAGAAACACTACAAGAGTTCTATAAAATATCAGGTAGGTGGCTTACAAATAATTTCAAAACTGTTCAATAATCCATTACCATTTTGACTTTAAGTCCCATTTCTACAATTGTCTTCCTTTGTAACAAAGGAGGTTTTATTAGACAACAGCAGAACTAAAGTTTTTGATTCGCCATAATTTCATGATACATTCCCTTACATATGCAAATGGGTAATTCAACATATGGTTTTTTTATTAAGCAGATCAAACTAAGTAAAAATTCCCACATTTGAATTTGAATTAAAGGTCAATTAAAGAGAATGGAATATACTTTCTTTTGTTTACAAAGGTCTAGTCCTCAATTCATATACCATGATGGTGTGAAATTCTGCAAAAGTAATGTTTCTTTTTTGTTCAGATATGAGAAACAACAACGTGGGAAAAGAAGCAATTATTTAGATAACATGGTATCTTCCTCTCTCAAATAATGTGTTTTACCACTTATAATTATTTACAAAGTCTTATCATTTATTTTTCCTCCTAACTCTGAGATATAGGCAAAGATTTGGGGTTATCTAAAATTACCCAGTCTGTATATGTGAACTTTAGTATCCCACTTCAAGGACAATTTTAATCACCTCAAATTTTGTTAAAAAACACAAATCTGGGTTTAGGGCCCAAATTGTTCCTAATAGGTATTGATGCTGATTAAAATCCCATTCAATTTGTTTTTATCTCCCACTAATTTTCTTTGTAAAAAAAAAATCACCACATACTTGAACATATTCATAAAAGATCTACACTATTTCAATGAATTCTCAGGGATGATGCTTTGTAAAAACCTCAAAGCTTATTCCAAAATCTTAATACTTATTTGCATTTCAATAAGGGCCAAAATAATTCATGTTTTTAAATTGCATTTATAAATATAAAATTTTACATTTATTTAAGTTTGTTCACTCCTCGTTTCTGAATTCCCTTAGCATATGTTTTCTGTCTTAAGCTTGCTAATACAATTATTGTTGTATTGGTTATTCTATTACTATATTGTTAACTTCTCACAGACAGAAATAATACCTTATTCCTATTTCAATCCCAACATGCTTTACAAAGTGCCTTGTACAGAGTTTAGTGTCTGTCAGTACTTACTTAATTCAATTTTCTATAATTCAATGAGAAATAAATCATTCTCCATCTACATAAATTCATGTCAGTGGCTAAAAAATAACCAATGACAGTCTGCACAGAGGTTGAGTGTGGAGTTTTGCAGCTGGGTAGAAAGCAACTAAAAAGATTTTTATGATTTGAATAAGAAACCATAGATTCTAGGGTAGCATTAGAAAAGTCAACAGCCCCATGTCCCCTGCTTCCTTTTCCATAAGGCATTATTTTAGTAATTTTCTATACACTTCTCAAGAATCAATATACATAAGGTAAAATCAGTGAGGTCTATGATACAATGCAATTTCTGACCCAACCCCTTTAGTAAGTAATTCGTTTATACTAGCTCATCTGGTTAATTCAATCTACAAGTTCCATTCCTGTTCAATAGCGGTAGTCTTCAAAATTCTTACACACAATTAATTACCTCAACTCTATTTCACATGAGTGGACTTACAGCTTGCTCTTAACTGCTCCTAATTGTCTTAAGATATCTTAAATTATTTTAAATGGACCCTGTATTTCAAGACCATGAATGCACAATTTGATGAAGAAAATAATTATTTCACATAAAAAAAATTGTTATTGTTCTTACACTCAGAAAAGTATGCAAATGTGTTGTTGTTATTTCATAAATACCAAGTTAAGAGAGAGACATAATAATGTAAACACATAACTAGTATTAAAAGTATACATTTTAACTATAAGAGTATAGCACTGCCAATATCTTCTCTCAGCAGACTTGGTGATTAACTAACTGTAAACAGAACTGATTTCTTTCTTCTCTTCTCTCTTACCTTGTAAAATCTCTGATAGATACTTTTGCAAAATTTAATTGGTAGCAAATGTTCCAAAGTACACAGTAGTGAAAAGCATTGAAGGACCTAGATGAACCTCAGCAATACAACCCACTGTGAACATTGAAGAATTGACCAAAACAAAAATATATTACTACAATGATGTTCAATGGCCTCGAACAAAATCAAGAATGGACTTGATTTTTCATTTTTAAAAGACTATTAAAAATGTATTTTAACATTAGCATCCATGCCACCACTGAAGTATATATAACAACTCAACAACAACCACAGCAAATGCAGCACCTAAGGAGAGATCAGATGCAGGAAGGTGGAATGAAATGCATTGAAAGTAGACGACAAAATATTGTCCGTGTTCACATGGTGCTAACATGCATATTTGACTGAAAGCAATTTTGCATTAAACAACAAATAATTTATTGTGACTGGCCAATTTTCACATATGTGTCTGTAAATCCATTTATGCCCAATAAAGCATGCAAACATGAAATAATTGTGAATGTTCTCTTCCAACAGTTGGATGTTGCATCAGTAATCCCATTTGATGTTCTCTACTTCTTCTTTGGGTTTAATCCAGTATTTAGAACAAATAGGGTATTAAAGGTAAGATGACTGCTTTATCCTTACAATAATGGAAACCTTGAAGTAATTTAAAATATGCTACAATTACCAATATTCTCAATTTTTTCTCCAAACTGTCTTCCTTTTTCTGCCCTCACCAATGCTATAAAAAATTTTAACTAAATAATAGAAAAGTGCAATTGCTTCTACCACTGGAAATTGCTACATGTTATTTTTATTACATATCTCACAACAGGTATTATTGTAACTTAAAATAAGTATAATTTGTACTTCTAAATAAAACTATACTTACAAATGAATCTTTTATATTTTTTCTATTTGTTCTTTTTTTAATGTTACTGACTGTCTGAAATATGGGCTTTAATATGAATTAGATTAGATTACCTCTAAGTTATCTTACTCATCTAAAATTCTATTATTCTACAATAAATGCAAGTATACTTTTGCATTACAAAATTATATACATACTTGGGTACAACTAAAATGTTCATCAAGAGGGAAGTACTTAAAAACCCTGAGGTACATCTACATAATAGAATACATTGTAGCTTTAAAATAAAAGGGGATTTTCCATGCGCTACTATGGAAATACCTCTAGGATAAATTGCTAAGTTAAATGGGAAAAAAAACTAGATCCATAACAATTTTTATAACAATGCTAACTTCTGTTTAGCACAAAGGAAATAACCAGTAAATGTGATTACCTCAGGTGAGAAGGAAAACAGGAAGGAAAAACAGGATAGACAGGGGCAAGAGTAAGAGCAAGACTTTTGAAGGTATATATTTCATGTTAATTTTGAACTATTTAAATATATTAGCTATTCAGAAAGATTCTAAGACATATATATTTCATAACTCTTGCTTTCCTGGGCACCTGAAAAGAACTGAAGAGAGTCAGAGTTTGAAATTTCAGATAAATCTTTAAGAACAGCAATAATAACTTGTATCTCCCTCTTAAAAGGACCACAAAAGAGCATATAAATTTTAGTGTATTGTCTTTATTGCATCTTGGGCAGACGAGATAGCATAACCAGGTGACACAAGTTAACCCTAACAGCAACAATAACAGCAGCAGGTGTCATTTGTTGTCATTCGGGGCTACAGACTTTGCTAAAACTTTGTACCCATTATCTCATTGATATGTCCCACCACACCGTCCTTTTAGAGATGAAAAAAATAAAAATTGGCATGGTGAAAACAATCTGTATGGACATACTCTGCTGAAAGGCCAGATCTGGATACTATCAGTACTTAACTGAATCTAAATTCTTCATTTAATCAGATTGGCAGATAAATATCAGGCAGAAAGAACTTTCTTTTTATGCTCATAGTCTCCCAAGTTAAATGGTCCTTACCCCATATTTCCATACACCGAAACAGTTCCTGAAGCATCTGGTTTGACTGTGGATATGAGTATAAATTAAGGCAGCACATAATGTTCCAAGAAGCCTAGCGTTCGGTCATCCCTCATCAAATTTCTAGTTCCTCATTCAAGTTTCAGAAGGCACTTGCTCAAAGGTAACCAGTTTTCAAAAAGACTCAGGTTCCTACGGATTGAGGAGTTTGTTTCACCTTATAATAAAAGCTTATAAAAGGTCAACTCCTCCTACTCCCATCTCTGTATCCTTAAAATGTTTGAAAGCCTTCTGTATCCTAAAGTATTTGTAAAATATAGGAGGATTATACGAGATTATAAAAGTCAACATTGATCTTCTTTTCCTAGCCTTATAGTCCTCATCTATAAGGATGTCATTTGAATGGAAATTTCTCTAGGATAAATATTTGTCATCTATCTGTCTCTAAGCTATAAACTAAGAAAACAAATTAAGAATATAAATTTTTCTCTATTATGAACACCTAAGCTAAATTTTAAAACATTGCTCCTTAGTGCAAAATTCCATTAAGAGCACTTTAAACAGGTTATCACAAATTGAAATTATCATAATCAGAATGTTTGAGGGATGTTTTCCTAAATTATGGCAAAACAAATCATTTGTCTGTATTTCTAATTAAAATTTATTGCTATTGTATATTATTTTTAATTTGAAATGTTTTACTGCAGTCATATCTGTATTGGGTGATGTTTTGAACTAAGTAATTTTAATCTCTAAGGCCCCTCCTGTCTGTAAGAGTCTGCCAGTCTACATATATTAAATATATTAATGGATATCTGCACACAACATTTCCATGAGGCATGTTGTCTTATTGTATCCGTTTTACAGATGAAGAAACAAAGTACACAAAGAGTAAGAGATTTTTCCAAAGTCACATGATTAGTATGTAACAGAGAAAAGGACTAGAATTTGGCTCTGAGATTCCTACTCTCAGCCCTGAGTTTTGCTGCTATAGTAATGAAAGGAGAAAGGGAACAGAGGAATAGGAATGCAGAATGGCAGTCAGAGCTGAGATTCAAACAGAAGGAAGCAGAAAAGAACCTTGGGGAAAATAGCAACTCTGTTCGGATTAGATCACATAAACTCATTGTACCTTTGGATAACATCAAGAAAGCTGGCTAATGCGAATACTTACTGGATTTAACTTTTGTTGAAACAAATATACATTTAATACACCTTGCTTAAAAATAATTCTCCTGTTGAGCAAATGGTATTACTTTATACTTTTCCTCTTTCACTTAAGGTTTTGAAGAGTATGACTTTAATTATTGTGAAAGAGAGTTATAGTATATGCTTTAAAAAGAAAAGACATGATTGATTTTCAACAAGCCTTACAAATAAGACTAATAACTAGAGGGTAGAAATAAAATACAGCAAGAAGCTCTGGAAGTTTGGCATCATGCTAAAATGTACTGCCCAGGGGAAAATACCATGAAACAGGGTCTATATTTTTTTTAAAAAGACATACAAATAAAGTTATTTTCAGTAATAAATAATATATATTTTGCATAGTTTTATCTAAATAGCTGTGTAAAAGACTAATATATTTTTGTATTTCTTTTGCCTGTTTTCTACACAGTACACTTCATTTTTTGAGTTTAATCATCACCTAGAGTCTATAATGGAGAAAGCATATATCTACAGGTAACGAATAATCCATACACTTGGGGAAAGTAAAGAACTCAATGATGCAACATTTATAATGGCCTTTGGGAGAAATATGACCACCCTGTTCAAGACGGGGGGATAATTTCAGGTTTGGGCTCTGTGACATATGTATTCTACCACATATTTGGATATTTCATGTGAGATAAAAGAATGAATATCATATCATAGTTTAGAAGAATGCTAAACTAAAAAATAGGATTTATTACCTACTTCAGTCAAAACAAGGACAAATAAATGTGCACTTTTGCAAGCCACCCCTCCTTTCTCTCAGGACAATTGATTCTTAATCTAAATTTCACTCATTTGCTGTTCTAAACTTCACTTGCTCAGAGACTTCTAGTCACAACAGTTCATCGTAGCATAAAGTCCCATGAGCTTTTCAGGGATTTCCAGTTAAATCAGCTTAGCGTATTTTATGAGACTCAAAATGGAGAGGTGACCCTGGAGGCATGTCTTTCACAGAGTTGACTTGTACCATCTGTGAAAAGAGAGCGAGTTTTTGTTTTGGATTTTTTTTTTTTTAACACTCTGTCAGTCCCAGTCAAGACACTGCAGTTTTTTTTAAAAAAAAAAAAAAAAAAAAAAAACATGCAATGGCACCATCACTTTCTACTGTACTAATGAGAGTTAACAGTTGGCAAATCTAAAGCAAGGAGGTTCAGTGGAGACTTGGAGGAAAAGAAAATGTTAAAATGGGCTGCGTTCCAGAAACAATATGAATCCTTACTTTGCCGTTATTGTCTCTGACAGAGTCATTCGAACAACTGGGTACTTGTTATTCATTCTGCACATTAATGCCTGTATTTATTACTGGGCTTCAAGCTATGAAGGAATTGGCACAACGAGATGGGTATATAATGGTGAAGGAAACAAGTAAGTTCTGATTTTGAAACTTTTATTGATGTTTCTTCATTTTTGATTGAGTGTATGCATTTTATTAAGTTGGTGGGGTTTTTTTAATTGTCATTCATAACCTACTCATGGGCAGTAAAACCTGTTTAGCAGGTCACTCACTATGTTTTTAAGTGAAAAAGAGCACAGGAGAATACAGTAGAAAATATCAGCATCTGTCAAATAGAGAGGTGTGTGTATGTGTGTGTGTATGTGTGTGTGTGCATGAGGATGCACACATGTGTGTGGGTGTCCTGGGTTGGCCTATGAAATGCATTTCCTCCATGGGATCATGATTTAAAAAAAAAAAGTTTTTTAAAGAAGCCTCTGTTTTAGACAACTGCTTTAGGTAACTTTTAATAACTTCAGTGCTGACTGTTAGTAACGAACAATGCTAATTATTCAGAGGGCAGGTGCAGTGGCTAATTAGTTTACCACTGGAGGGTTTTATGGGTTTGTGAGTCAACTATAACCACTAACTCAATTAAATACTTAGAAAATAACAAGGGTCATAAATTAAGCTTGACAATTAGGTATGCAAGTGTACCAGGAATGAAAAACATCATTTGAAAAATTTTGTGTGGTAGAATCAGGACTCAATAATGGCAACTGGTTATTTAATAGCCAATTTTCCTTTTGGAATATACAAGACCCTGGTATAATACTCCACTAACTTTCTCCTTCAATGATATGACATTGACATACTATAAGGTAATGTTCTTAATGGAAAAAGTAGGTCCCAGTACTCATATATTTTTTATACTATACACTACCCAGAGTGAGTTGAATATGTATAATATGTGTAACAACATTATTTCCATTTTTACTGAGAATTATTTTTTTAAAACTTAAAGTCAAAGGCTCACTGAATGTGAAAACATACATACACATGCACAGGTGCACTAATTGTGAAAACATATACACATCACACATACACACACATACACACACACACACACATACAGGAAATCTGTTTCTGGAAAATTTATAGCCAAAACTGTAAACTTATACCCAAAACTGATTAATAAATAATTTGTTAATTTGCATAATATAAATAAGTCTTACAAAAATTAAGATACCAACTATATTAAATATGTATTCACAACAATGTCTAAAATTTGAAGTATTGACAATACCAAGTGATGGGATGACTGAAAATATCAATTGGTAGAATAAATTAGAGCTACTTAATCTCTTATATAATTTTGGCAGGAATTTAAAATGGTAAAACCATTTTTGAAAAAGATCAGACAGGTTTTTTTTAATTAAACATATACCTACCTTACCACTAAAAACTCCCAAGCCTAGATATTTACCCAAAGAAATGAAAACATATCCAGAGAAGAAACTTACACAAGAATGTGCATAGACTGGAACCAGCATTTGACCCAGTCACCCCACTCCTAGATTTATGCCCAAAGGACTCAAAATCAGCATACTACAGTGACACAGCCATATCAGTGTTTATAGTAGCTAAATTCACAATAGCTAAACTATGGAACCAAGCTAGATACCTTTTAACAGATGAATGGATAAAGAAACTGTGATATATATACACAATGGAATATTATTCAGCCTTAAAGAAGAATGAAATTATGGCATTTGACGGTAAATGGATGGAACTGGAAAATATCATGCTAAGCAAAATAAGCCAATCCCAAAGAACCAAAGGACAAATGTTTTCTCTGATATACAGATAATAATTCACAGTAAGGCAGGGGTAAAATATAGGTACTTTGGATTAGATAGATGGGAGTAAAGGGAAAGGAGAGGGGATGGGGGTAGGAATGATAGTAGAAAGAATAAGACATTATTACCTTGTGTGCACATGTGATTATATGTATATTATCATGTACAACCAGAAAAATGAGAAGTTATACTCCATTTATGTATGATATGTCAAAATGCATTCTACTGTCATGTATAACTAATTAGAATAAATTCAAAAATTTGTAAATATATTCATAGAACCTCTATTCATAATAGCCAAAAACTTGAGAGGGCCTAGTTATTCATCCAGAGATGAAAAGACAAACCATGGTATATATGTATAATGGATGCTACTCAACAATACAGAGGAACAAAATTACTGACAGACAAAAGATGACTAATGCTTATGAGTGAAAGATACCTCACGCAAAAACATACATACATACTGTGTGATTTCATTCATGTGAAATTAAGAAGCAAAACATATCTATAGCGGAAAAAGTTAAAACACAAGTTGTCTCTGAAGTTCTTGGGACAAGAACTGACTAAAAAGAACCAAAAAAAATTTCTGGAGCAATTGATAAAAATATTCTGTGCTTGATAAATGTTTGAATTACACAAATATATGTATATGTCAAATATTAGTCAAATGATACAAAAATAATTAGCATTTCTACACTGACAATGAACGATCTAAAAAGAAAATTAAGAAAATAATCCCATTTATTACAGCATCAAATCAAAAGAAATAAAATACTAGGAGGTTAAAGACTTATGCACCAAAAACTATAAAACACAAATGAAAGAAACTGAAGCTGACACAAATAAATGGTGCCCATGTTTATGAACTGGAAAAACTTAAATTGGTAAAATATTCAAACTATCCAAAGCAATATACAGATTCAGTGCAAACCCTACCAAAATTCCAATGGTATTTTTCTCCAGAAATGTACAAAACAACCCCAAAATTCATATGAAGCCACAAAAGTCTACAAATAGCTAATGCAGTTTTGAGCAGAAGGAAAAAAGCTAAAATCATCACACTTCCTAATTTCAAAGTGTATTGCAAAGCTACAGTAATCAAAATAGTATGACGCTGGCATTAACAACAGACATAGAGATGAATGGAACAGAATAGAGAGCTACACACACACACACACACGCACACACACAAAGTCTTTGGCAAGGGTGCCAGGAATAGAGAATGGCAAGACAGTTCTTCAATAAGTGGTGTTGGGCATGTATGAGTTTGTCAGGATGAATCCAACTATTATGTGTAACCATAAAGCTCTAATAATAAATACATAAATATTAAAATGCCAAAAAGTGATGTTAGGAAAACTAGTATCCACATGCAAGAGAACAAAATTAGAACCTTATACTATACTGTACACAAAAACCACCTCAGAATGGAATAAAGACCCTATAGGCAGGACCTACCACCATGGAAGAGCCATGATGGCCACAGAGGCCCTGCCGATCTGAGGGCCAGCCCCAAGAGGAGAGACATCCACCTCAGGTATGTGAGGACGCCATGGGTTCTGGCTGAGAGGCAGCTGATTGTGGCCCTTGGCTTCACTACAGCTGGTATAAATCTGCTGCCTATCACCTGGGAGCTGATCCAGCCATTAGTGAGCCAGCTCTCTTGTGCGGACCAACATACTGTGCACTGTGTGTGGTTGTGAGAAAGTCCTTCCTAAGAGCCCGGTGCTCAATATGCACCTGGACAACAGCCACTGTCTACGAGATGGCACAGTAAATCCAACAATAAGATTTGAAAACTGAACGGAAATTCTTTTGTTGTCCAATTGAAGTATGCTCTAGAGGGACCTAGAGATTATTTTCTCAGTTATCTCTCCTAAAACAGCACTTTATAAAAATGCATGCCAAGAAGCATAAATAGAATAAGTACAGCAATTCATATGGCACTGAATGGGACTTGAAAAGGCACACAGAGGTCTGTGGAAAGAACTTCCAGTGCAAGTGCAGCTGTCCCTCTGCCAGCAGAATGGCATTACAGTCTCCCATATACCACACTGGCCATGAAATACTGCACAGCACAGGGATTCGCCTAGTAAAAAAGAAAATGGAATACCTCCTGCAAAACCAGAATTATCTAAAATGACCATTGAAAAATGGAGCAAACCAACCAAAACCTGACCAGACATTCAAGACCTAGAAACTTCAGACTCTTGGAGCTCTAATGCCAAAAAAGAAGTGTCATACCTCTAGATGTCTTCCACAATATCCCAAAGTGGCTCTGGTTAAACTTCCAGTGATGGAGGTTTTTTCCTGTTCATTTCTTTGTACCTACAGCTGCATGTTAGTCAGCTTTGTATCACTGTGATCAAAAGACCTGACAAGAGCAGCTTAGAGAAGGAAAATTTTACTTGGGACTCAACAGTTTCAGAGGGTTCAGTCCATGATCAGCCAACTTCACTGCCCTGGGCCTGAGGTGAGGCAGAATATCATGATGGAAAGACTTGGGTGGGGGGGGGGGAAGCTGCTCAGCTCATGGCAGCCAAGAAATAGAGAGAGGAAGGAACCACAGATAGAGTTGAAGCCATGCCCCCCACTGGCCTACTTCCTCCAGTCATGCCCTACCTCTCTATAGTTACTACCCAGTAGTCCATTCCAATTATTAATCCATCAAATGGATTAATCCACTGATGAGGTTACAGCTCTCATGATCCAATCATTTCACCTCAAAACATTCCTTCCATTGTTTAATGCATAATATTTTTAGGGTACATTAAAGATCTAAACCACAATAAGCTGATAATTTCTTCAGGTTATGGTGTCAAGTGTCAATAGCTCCATTGTAGGTGCTATTCACTTAGTGTCCTTGTCAGTAGAAAACCCAATCCTTAGACTAGATTGAAAGGCTTACTCTCTTAAGGGGAACCTCATCTTTCAAAAATTATAAGACTTATAAATTAAAATTATAAGTTATAAATTATAAAATTATAAGTTGTTGAGTCAATGAATACAGTTGTTAAATAAATTTGTGTAAAAGTCCACATAATTCTTTATAAGAACTAGGTAACACATGTCAAAAGAACAGAATTTCTTCAAACCATGTAAAAACAAATGTGTCCTAGGGCTGAGGATATAGCTCAGTTTGTAGAGTGCTGCATGTACAAGCCCTAGGTTCAATCCCCAGCACCACAAAAAAAAAAATGTGTCATATACCTCATAAAACTTCTGCACTGTAGGTTGACCCTGATTCCTTCATGTCATCTTGTTTTCAGACTGATCTGTTGTTTGATTCT